GAAGTGTTCTCACAGTTCAAGTAAATAATCTTAATTCATTAGTTTGAAAAAAAAAAGTTGTTAAAACATGGGGAACAATGAGGGATTTGAATAGGGGAAAGCAGAGAGGATCAATATCTCTTTTTTATGGGCAGAGAGAAGTAGTTATCTCTTGTGGTTCTAAGTAGTGGAATTCAAGATAATTGCAGTATGCCAGAAAACCAATTTTCATGCCAGAAAACCATATTCCATGACATTTAATATTCAGAGGAACTGTGTACTTTAATTCCCAAGTATGTCTCACAAGGATATTTTACAGGCTCTCTTTTAGGATTAGGAATGAGAAATTGCAGGAGGAGTAGTGTGAAATATTCTGGTATGAATAACTTTGTAACTGGTTGCAAGGCCATGGCTAAAGAATACAAAAATAATAATAAATTATATATAAATATATGAATATTTAGCAGCAAGTATTCATAGCAAAATTTTATTCACATCCACACTGTTCAAATTCCCGCAGTATATGCCACAGTTTAGTACAATTACACATTATTTTATCACTGACAACAATTTATGCTTGCCATTGTTTTGAAATAAAGTGGGAGATGCTAGGGAAAGTTGACATATGTAGATATGAGCAGAAGCTACAAAAATTTTTTGTTCTACAAAGTATCTCCAGAAGCTACTGGAACACACATCTTTGATACCATCCTACCTACTTGCTTGTACAGTGTATGGAAAACTCTTTGTAATATTTGTCTGTGAAACATTATGTCCCTCAGCTAAGGAACATGTTTCTTACCAGAACTGTGCTGACTGGATTTGTCTCCAGAGGTTTGCATGCTGATGAACAAGCTTCTCTAGGCAGTCTGAAAAGTCTACGAACAGACCTCTAAAGCAGTTGTGAGAATAGACTCAAAGGGGGAAAAAAAAAAACAAAAAACCTTTCCAAAGGTCGTGGCATTATATGGTAGAATCAGTGAGCCATAAAAAATAATTAATTTCCAAGAACAGAGCAAGCAGAACACTTTGAACAACTCTGATAATGGAGAATTTGGGAGATACTTATAGGAACACAGGAAAAAACACAACATTGCCTACTGATAGTATTAGACACAGATGATGTGATTAAAGTGAGAATAGAAGACAGTACTCCCTCAGGAATCTTTCTTGAAGATATATCTTTGCTTCATTCCCTGCATTTAAATAGTGTGTAAAGATGCAGAATTCCATGTTCCATGTTTCAATGCAATAAACAACTCCTTTTAATAGTTCTTTAAATTACGAATATACAGGGGCGGTGGAGCATTTGAACTAATGATTTATCTGAAATTTAATGCTGTGACTCACTGACAAACTACAGCATATTCACAGAATTTAGTAAGAAAATATTAGTCCTTTCCTATGCTGGGTCTCAGAAACATAGTTTTGCACAAGGAAAACACGATATCACTTTGTGCTGTTTAAACAAAAAAATCCCTGGATGGTATAAATGGCATTACTATCTTCCCTTTAGTAAGCCAGTTTGCACCAGATGAAAATATTTGCACTTTCAGATGTCTCTCACAGTAGCAACTATCAATCTCCCGACTGATGTGATTATGCATAATTCTGAATGTAGTCTATCAGCCCTTGAGAAACTTATGATCTTTGTCTTTTCTTAGGATAAATCCAAAGTAGTAAGTCCTTTCCAAATGAAAATATTTCTAATTATTATTTTACTGACAAATGCAAATTTTTGCATTATTTAATTGGCAAGAATGGTATCATGACCACCCTAGATCCTAAGGTTTTTTTCAATAATATTTATTCAAGATGAATGAATATTTCTCACTTATTTAAAAAATATAATGCATGAAAAAGTCTTACTAATTTCTTAAGACATATTTTTATGGGATGATTTTCCTTGGGTAGCTATTTATGTACCTTATAGTTTACTCTTACATAGGTGATTAATAGAAAACACATTCACAGTATTTGTGGAAAAGATAAACAATCCTTGAGGTATCCAGACAACATTGCAGAGATCATTGGAAGTCACCCAACTAACCATTCAGCTGACTTCTTACAAATGCTGATGAAGGATTAGCTTAGCTTTTGTTACCTTTGCCTTAAGTTTAAAAAAAATCTATAATATTTTTAGTCTTGTATACATTAAGTATCCTATTGATTTGTAATATTATTTATAGTCAGAATCTTTCTCTACATTTCTAGGAATTTTGGAAAGATATCTTCCAATCGACCAGTCTTTCATTATTTCATAATCTACTCAAGACCATTGTTCACCTCCTGCACTAAATGCAGAATTTTGACAGTTTGCCAGGTTTTAATAGACTTGTTCTTGGGGTTTATTTTCATGATGTCTGTATTTGGTAGCTAATGAGCTGTAGGGCTGTAAAATTTGAATCTTTCTTGTTAAAAGTTTCTAGATGTCTTGCTTCATAGCCTTAAGGACTAGACTTTGATTTTACAAAGCTATGTATCTCTTGGGCTTGTGATGGCATGACACCGTTGTTGTCCAGCCCAAAGCAAAGAATAAGGAGCAGTAGGAAAATTTGCTTTCTGTTTGTATCTATCACTCTTCGCTAATTCCATACTCTCTGAGACTTACTGCTGAAAGTTTTATATTGCTAACTTAACAATTATGAATCTTTGCTATGATATTCATCACACAATAATAATGAAATTTTTACAATGGCATAGAGATCCATAAGATGTATGACCTGACATCATGATTTAGTTGTTTAGTTTAGTTTTGGTTACAGATTTTCATAAAAGAATATATATATATTGATTTTAGAGGGATGAGCTTGTTTCCAAAGTCAAGTTTCTTGAAGATAAGAAGTATTAGTGCCTTCAAAACATTGTTCACATATCTCACATTAGAAGACAGAAATCTTTCATCTTTCAGTATTTTCATGATGGACCGGTTGGTTGTCTAAAAAGATCCTGAAAAAGACTTTATGTGGCACTTTATGACAAAATTATTTTTTCTAACCTGGAGTCTGCCTAAGGGCACCCACATATGGAACTGCCTGATGTGTTTTCACACTCAGCAGAAAGGATTTGAGGGGGTTTCTAGATACATCTGGAGACTTCTAATTTGGTTATGACCCTGTTGGGTAGAAAGTTCCATTCCTGATAAACAGCAAACAGCAATACTTGTTAGTGAACTGGCTTTATGTGACCAGTGAAATATTTAACAACTGAAAATTGAATATCTGCTTTGTCAAAGAAACAGGCAATACACACTAACAGAATACTCTGGTCTTTCATTAATTTCATTCTATATATATATGGCCTCGATGGCCCATCCATCTTTTTCACGCTTTCAGATATCTCACAAATACCTACATTTTTTACCATCATCTGAAATGTCAAGAACTAGAGAGTGGAACCAAACATCAGGAGCATTTCACTGGTGTTCCAGCCAGGATTACTGAGACACCTTTTAGATTTGTCTCAATAGATCTGGAATGGCAAAGATATGAAAATGATAAGTACTGGGGGAACAAAGTATCCTGACATTTATTTAGATAGGGGTTTGGGTCATGTTTTGTTCGTGGTTACTCTTGTTTTATCTAGCTAGATTGAAATGTATATACTTGACGTTATTGTGTCTGAGTTTTCTCTCTTTATGTCTGCAGAATAGTAGAGATTAAGTTTCAGACGTGCAGCATTAATAGAAGTGTAAGCAGCTCAGCTGTTCATCTAGTTATACTTGTGCTGCTGAACAAATCTGGTTGAATGACTGAAAACTTAAACTTGACCTGTAGAAGTAATTTGTCTGAGAGAAGGATATGGGTGTGTAAGCATGGAGTTATAGCATGATTTTTCTCATGCTGGAAGAACCTAGAACTTCTTGGAATCAGCACAAAGTAGAGACAATATGATAGAGATAATGGAAACAATACAGATTATGGTCACATGTTATAAACACCTAAAAAAGGAAAGCTGTGACCTCTTCCACTCTCATCTAATAGCATTATTGGTATTATTAATTATATTAATTATCTAATATTGATTGTAAAAGTCTTTGTAATGAAATTTTCTATGTTCATGCAATGTAACCTATGCTGACTTATTACCCACGGGGGACACTTTTTCCTTTTCCAAAGGCACAGGTTTCCCTGTTGTGTTTAAGTTGTGTTTTCCTTTTCTTTTTAAAGTTTTACTTTCTACTGTAAATTATTTTCAAGGTTAATGAACTGAAAATTAGTTTGCCTTTGCAATTCCCAGAATCTAACCCTAGTGGAATCTTCTGTTATGTGAAATATTTTGCAAAGTATAGGTTAAAACAGTGGCAACAAGTGAAAAATACATGGAGCATTTCTGCATGTGTGATTTTCTAATGTTAGACACAAATTAAAGGCACTGATTAATACACTTGCAGTTGATTCCATTTGTAATTACTTTCTTTCTCCAGTAAGACTAAGTTTTAAATGCAGTAATAGTGCAGAACACTGTGGTTAATTTTGTGTGTTACAGCTTCTAAAATTGTGTACACAATTCATTTGGAGGTCTTACGATGTACATGCACAAGCCAAATAAATTAAAAATAAAGGCCTTTTATTAATAATGATTTTTTTTACACTTGGCATAGTCTTTTGTGTTGTGTGAAAAAATAGACACACAGCTGTTAATTGACAAGGTAAGTAATAATCCTTTGATTACAGTAGCTAAAGGCTGTCCTTTAATGGATTTTACTTGTCACTTTTAATTCTTTTTAATCTTTGTCTGCATTTCATTAGAACGGCTTTATCATTCTGATGGCCCTCCTGTCGTTATTCTGATTGAGTTAATGGGTTGTCGTCATACCACAGAGCTCCAGTATAAAATATAATAGTGTTATATTTATAGTCTTCAGGGACATTTTTAAGATGATTGCTTTACCAATCAGCTTTTCTGGTTTTACATAGTACATTATTGTAAATGGAGTGCTGTATTTTGCTTTCTCTTGCCTGGTAGGTACTCTGAGCAAAGCTTCTGTCTTAATCTTCCATGACTTAATCTACCTAGAAAATTCAACAGCCAGTTGGTGAGGGAGCTAGAAAAGGTCTGTTATAATTTTCTGTCCTGCTCGTCAGCTGCGATTTTGATTTTCTGTTTAAGAGCTACATGCCTGCACTGCAGTTTTCCTAACAGATGATACAGGTACTTGAATATTATTCAAAAAACTTACCTGAGGTCTCATAATGCAGCTATTAAAATGGATTTGTTACTATCTTGTTTTCAACTTCAGCTGTACAGCTGAAGGATGCGTGATATTTAGGCCTTTATGCTTAATTTTACTTATCTTTGGAAAAACTAGTGTTGAGGGTACTGTATTTTTTCCACGTATTATTGAGGAGCCTAATAAATCACTAACAGTTTTAAAGATAATACCATTTAATGGAAAAAAACCTTGCTAAATAATTGTGGAACATGTGTCAGGTAGCTCATGATTATTTTTTCAGTTAAATCTTTAAACAATATGCTGGTTGCATATAGAATGATACTTGGGTGAACAAACATATTTGTCTTTTTAGCTTGAGACAAGCAATATAATATAATATAAATTATTGCAGAGAATCCTTTAATACAGTTTTAATGATTATATCTGTGATACAAGTCCAGCTGTGACACTGAGCCATGCTATTGGTATGGAACTCTATAATACTCTGCTGCAGAACAGATGTTGTAATTATAATAGGCAACATTTTATTATGTGTTTTCGGAAAGTTTCCTAGAGCATGACTTATATGTTTATAGTTTATAGCGAGGTAATCTTGCATAGGAGCTAAGAAATGAGGAAGATATGTGAAAAGTAGCTACCTAAATTGATGCATTTCTATTTTAAAAATAATTTCAGTGTAACAATTTCATTTCTCCCTTTTCTGTACAGATTTGCTAAAATGGGGTGCAATTTTCAAAGAACATTAGTGGTTACATTTATTGTCTAAAAAGTTTTTGATGAAGAAGCAGAGACATGCTGATAATGTCTTATATCAGTAGGCAAGGTTTTCAGGACTGTAAATAGAAATGCAGAGGATTTTTTTAAACTGTCTTTATTACATTTGGGGTAGTCTGTGTTGGTAGCGTTAAACAGCCTTTTCTTGACAAGGGCTACTTATGTACCTTGTGTTACATAACATCTCTTACAATGTTAAGTAGTGTAGAAGACAAATACTGTGTCTGTTTTCATATATATATGTATGTTTGCTTATGCTCACTGTGCTTGTAATTAACTGTTTAATTGGAGAGGGGGGAATGAAATATTTATTTTACTTTAGTCAATGAAACTTTTCTTTGAGACGCACTTTCATTTACTACATTATTCGCAGACCTTAAGCAGTAACAGATACCTGACTGCGACATTTTCAGTTCCACTGTACTAAATTGCAGGTGTTAGAGCTTAATGAATCATGTGCTGCTGCTGCTGCAAAAAATGGTATTTTGTTGAAGTTCCAGATGCAACTGTATTTAAATGTTCTAATCAGAGATAGAGGCTTCAGAATAATAACCTCTATTATTTTCTTCTGGGACCACCAGAGAACATCCTTTGGGCTGTCTATCTTTTAAATAATTACTATTATTATAATTTGCATTCCTACAGTGCCCAGGAACCCCAGCTGGGAAGGAACTCCATCCGAGTCCTCCTATACTATTTTTGCATGACGACAATCCAATATGAAATCTTTACAGTACAGACAAAGCTCACTTTACAAATTCTGTCCCATGCAAATCATTGAGTCCAAATACAAGATATGCAGAGATTTTTTGATAGTAGAAACCTGTTCACTTTTTGAAAACTTTTCAAAGACATATGTTTTCAAAACATTATACTTAGTGCCTAGGATTTTGTCATCTTTTTTCCCTTTTTGGGTAGCTACAGCAAAATGGCTCACATCAGCATTAGTATATTGCAGAGAAGTCCAGATAACAGCGCTCTGAGAGATTATACTGGTTATAATAGGTATTCCTATTCTCTTGTAATTTTGAATGATTTCTAATGTTGTGCCTACTGTCTGAGCTGTTCTTCAATTCCAATATGTCAGCAGTTATGTACACTACTGCCTGACTTCGATGGAAGCAACCTCTCCTGTTCTCTATACTTAGTTCAACATAACTGACTTTATAGCTTGCTTAAAGATTGGTGCATAGATCTGTGTTGATTTATCTCTTTCTCTCCTCTATGAATTTGCCTTTGTGGATGGTGCCAAACAAACTCAGCAGATTTATTATGGTATTTTTCTAGCCCGAGTTAAAGGATAGGCAAGAGCAGATGATGATTTCATGTGGGACCTATTGAAATACAGTGGTCATAGAACTGTAAATATTTACTAGAAACCTACAAGGAAATAAAATGGCTCCTAGAAATATTTTAGTGTAGCTTTACTCCACTGAGCTGAATCAGCAGTGAAAAATTAAGAAATTTAGAGGTGTTTTATGAAGTATCTGTTCACTCTCAAGTGGTCTGCTAGACTACCCTTATTCTATATCAATAAATGAGGGCTCAATGACAGAGGTAGATGACTGGCAAAATACAAAGGACACAAGAAAGTCAGAATGGACATTTAGAAAATACTCGGTAGAGAAATGGAGACAAAAATTGACAGAAAGCAGAGAGGGAGAGGGAAAAAAGAAGGAGAGACTAAAACAAAAGAACTTGCATGAAGTAATAAGAGAGAATATGCGCAAGTTGAAAACAGCTGGATTTTAACTTCAGCTTCAGACTGATGATATTTAATGCCCTAAGTCTCTAGATACCCTAGCAATAGTTGGGTTTATCGTTTTCATCTCTCTTGCTTCAGCGCTGCACTATGAGTTATAATTAAAGCAGGGCTAAGATAGCAACAAAACTGAATAAATTATTCATTGAAAACCAGCAACATTTTCTAAATAATGTATTCAATGAATAATATTCAACTAAAAATAGGTACAATATACACAGTATTCTGTGCACACTCAAGAGTTGGTCCTTGGCCCACATTTTATCATAACTAGTAGATTGATATATTTTCTTTCTAGGAGAGGCAAGCAAGAAATACTGCTTTTCTTTCTAGCCTCACAAGATAGGATATATGAGTGCATTTTGTTGTTACAATTGTAAGGTTAATTTCCTATAGTAGTCTAATAATTAAAAGTGAACTCATCTCTTCACTGGAACTTGTGGTGGCCTAGACATTAGTGATGATATGATATGCTCAAAAAAAGGAAAATAAAGATGGTTCCAAAACCCAAAGAAAGTTAAAAGAAAATTCTGACTGACAGCAAAAAGGTAGACAGAAAATTTTGAGTGGAAGTGGATATGAGAAAGGATTTATGGAACAGGCAGGAAGCTGCATTGCCTTACTGAAAAAGTCTATTGCAGCTCAGTGGCAATACAAAGGGCACCAGTTGTCAATGAAAAGCCATGGGGAGAAAGTGGAAGAAAGGGTACGTAAAAATTAACCAGTAAACATGGGAATATGAAGTAGAGAGTATTTAAATAAAGATTAATCAGTGTAACGCAGTTGAGATACGTTGTCATGTTTCATATTATATTCTAATACGTTAGAAGTTTTCCAAATACAAAACCAAATGGATTTAGAACTGTCCCTTCTTCTGTTTCCTAAGAAGTTGGACCTGTTATAATTATTTTTACACTAACATTTACCCTTACTTTACATTACATAAACATGTTGTTTAGTTTTACATGAAATAAATAGATATTTTTAAAGCCTCTATTGTTGAAAAGTGGGATGATGAAAGGCATTATTGACAGAATACTGTATTGTCAGTTGAGGTAAATAGAATAAATTGTTTGTGGCTTTATCACAGAAAAGCATAGTTACCATTTTGTACAGAAGTCATCACCACCCCACTTGTCAGGACTTTCTAAATTAGTCTATTAAAAAAAGGAACATGGAAAGCAATTTAGTGGAAAATATCAGTGGTTTGGCTCATTCAGACTTCTCTTGTTAAAGCATTTGAAGTATATAGAATCTTTCAAAAGTTTCTTGTTCAACCACAATCACTGTAATCTGCATTCATTATAACACTGTGCATTGTACTCCTTTGACAGCAGAGCTAAGCAGTCAATATTCTCCTTTTCAGCAGTCTGTGCTGTACCAATCTCATATGGTTAATAATTGAGACAGATGCACTGTATAAGAATGTCACAGTTGTACCAAATGCATGTTGGCCTCTTGCAGCCTTCTGTTAGCAAGCAAATGCTTAAAACAATACCTACTACAGTAACTTCTTGCTTAGCTTTTAGAATAATTTAAATGGAAGAGCTAAACCCCATATTTTAAATCTAGAAGAAAAAATGGTATAACAATGTAGTTTAAAATACATACAAACAAATTATTATATAAACCCAGCAGTTTAAAGATGTAAAATGTCAGTATATGCAAATACATAGCTAAGACACCCAAACTTAACTTTATGTAGGCCATAAAAAAGACAAAGATACATATTACATACAGCCCATGCTTCTAAGTGACATAAACTTTCTTATCCATATATATATCTAACTATATTTGTTCCTCTCTTGTAAATAATTTTCTTTTAAATTTAATTGTCTTTTGTGTTTAGAATAATGTCTCATTGGATATATAAAAATGTCAGATAATAATTAAGTCTGCATAATACATCTGCTTAATGCCACAGCTGTGTTAGGCAAAGAAACAAAGCCCAAGATGCCCTGAAATGGCAGTTAAACAAGTCTGTACATGGTATGTAGGATCCAATATTTGTAAGAGTTTTGAGTTTTATATTTGATAAATTTCATATTGTTTCTAATTTGTGCGTATGAAGGCTGACATCACAGAATCATATGACCACAGAATAATTCAAGGTGGAAGAGACCTCGGGAGTTCTCTAGTCCAACCTCCTGCTCAAGCAGGGTCTGCTGTGAGCTCAGACCAGGTTGTTCAGGGCTTTGTCCATTCTGGTGCGGAAAACCTCAAATATATAGAACATGCAACCTCTCTGGGCAATCTGTGCCACAGCTTGATTGTCCTAATTGGGAAAAAGTTTTTCCCTATATTGTGTGAACTTTCCTTCTTTCAGCTTATGCCCACTGCCTCTCATCCTCCCATCATGCACAACTGTGAAGTGCCCCGCTCCATCTTCTTGATAATCCCTTGCAAATGCTGCTGTTAGGCCCCTCCAAAGCTATCCCTTTC